AAACCAGCGCGGTGGTTTGTGAACTAAGCTGTGAAAGCCTGCTGTGCTGCCACCTTGACAGCCGCAGTTCAGAGGGTTTTTTTAACGGTTTTACTTAACTTGAGTCCTCTGTTTGTCGTGGTCAAATCTTGTAATCAAAATTTCGTCCACTTCCCGTTGTCCAATCGATTCCACGTTTTGCACACGTACTCGGATCCGGTGACGATGCATGCCTGTATCAAAAAGCAATTTACATTTTGTATGGGCGCCTTATTATTTATATATATTTGTGTAGGTCAAAACGCCCTCGGTCCCTAAACTGTGGAATCGGCTCGCACAAGAAGCAGGCGCCGTGTGTCTCAGGCGCTATTGACGCACTTCTCGACTGGGAGTTAAACGAAGTTGTTAATAAAACCGTTGTTTAAAAACAACTTTTTTAAAGTTTTTTTCAGTGTTTCCGAAAAATCTTCATGCTCAACCTAATCGTTGCTTCCGAGAGCGGCGGATTTCGGGCTTGTTTTGTTTTACCCCCGCGCGGCACGTCTGATTTTACAGGAATTTATACAGCGCCTTAACCAAGGTGCTTTTACAGATAATTGGCAACGTTACTGCATCCGAATGCGATGGTGGAGATGAGGTTAATGGAATATAGGAGAGGAATCAATGGGGGGCGAATCTGTGATGCGTGACATCGGTGAAAGCGAAATAGATGACGGCAAACGATGATGCGGGGGGGGGGGGGGGATAAGTGGTAGCCATGTGTAAGTGTTGCTCCAGAGACACTTTGTAGAGGGCACGTCTTAATTATACACACGTGCCCTAACTACTAAACATCAACTCCTCGTACAGTCTATCTCGAGTACTTCCACTCGGTATATTATACGCCTCCTACGTAGCGTGCCTACCCTGGCTACGCTCCAGGTCCTCCGGCTATAATATCCTATGGAAGACCCAGGGGTCCACCACTGGCCTCACAGAGCTCCGGCCCTTAAAAGAGCGGCGAAGCTAGGGGTCTAGGGTCCTATTCTGGCAGGTCTTCTTGCTTCAACTGGTCGTCTTCAACTGCCTGGACCTCTCCAGAGGTCCGCCTTTATATACGTTTCTCAGCCGAGGTGCGGACCTCCGTGAGGGACGCGGGTGACCCCCAGAGTCCCTCACCGAGGGTCCGCATGTCTGCCGTTGCAGCCCAGTACATCCACAGCCCCCTCCGGCTGTTGGGAGTGTTTGCGAGGGATCGTAGGACCCCTCAACCCTCAACCGCTTCTGGGCTGTCTGTCGTTGCCTGCAAGTGCAGCCCATCCATGGTATAATAATTATTAGAATAATATAGAATTATTATTATAATTATTATTCTGAGTAATTCTGATTGTAAATGATGATGAATGGATTTAATGAATGGGGTGAATGAGTGATTGCCATGCAATGAGATGATTAACGAACAGTAGTAGTGGTTGTTATGAGGGGGAGATTAAAGGGGTCGTGGGGTGAGCTTAGGGGTAACGATAAGTGAGTTTTGAATGAGGAGCAGAAGCTTCATGGGCGAAGCTGACTGTTTAATCTGGCTGCCCGTGTGTGTGTGCGCGCACTGGCCCATTCGCGCGCTACGAAGCGTGAAACGTTATTCCTCCACTTGGGCCTGCGACCACGTTGTGTGCGTATCGTGTTCTCCCGTCGCTGCGTGCTTGGTGTTTTTATGAAATCGCGTGCAGCGTGACCCCAGGGCCCTTTGAGTGTTGCTTATGATGCACAAAAACTGGAGGCTCTCAATGCTGCTTGCTGGCTACTCATTTCTGGTGACTCTGCTGCTGCAGAGTGCGACGACGCAACGTTGCGCCGTGGTTTTATCAGCAAGCCTTGCGTGCCGGCGAGAAGTGACATTGCCACGTTGCAGGTGTTCACGAAAGAGCCCGGAGGAAATTAATTTTTCCCCATTTGAGTTTCTTTTTTTGGGGAAGTACTTTGCAACGTTATTGATTCGTTGGCTGATATACAAGTGGTGGTATCAGCCCTTTGCATCCGAAGTGTGTGAGGTATAAGAATAGGTTTTACCCTTTCTGGCAATAAACTAGTCTTAAGATATTCATATTATTGGTTCTTTCGGTAAAGTCGCGTAGAAGGGAAACAACACACTAATAAAAGGGGACGTACTTTAAAAGATGGATAATAAATTTGACGCAAGGCCGTCAGAAATCCAAACCTCCCAATAAACAAGGGCATCTCCATGCCGCCACCACCGCACGGGCTCATTTATAAGGATCTGACCGAGCAAGGAAGATCCTGGTTCCTCCTCGAATCGGATCTGGACACTCCATGAACAATGTTCGGGACACTTTCTCCATCGATGGAAACTTTACGAGAGTCCAGTTTGTGACTGCGATGGTGCGACATTTCAGACCGTCCATATTAGAAGTTTTTTTTGGGGTTAGATCGCGTGAATAATAATGTGCCGTTTTTAAACAGTCCACCACCCGGCACAGCCAAATTATTAAGGTTTATCACGTAAACAAAACATGCCAGACAGTACATCATGAGGCCTCCTTTGCCAGTACCAAAATATACTAATAGGGGTTTCCCCCTTTTTTCTGGCAACAAAACTGACACCTTTTTGCAAGGAATCGTGTTTACATTAACCACAATACTTGCAGTCAAATGCAAACAAAAAACATAACTCTGATAATTTATGCGTTGTCCTTGAAACTGATTGGTCCACACCAGAGACAGCTTTTCTTAGAGCCTAGTCTCATATGGTGTTCGACCAGATGACGCCAAAAGGCGTGTAAACATGATTCCTTGCAAAAGGTGTCAGTTTTGTTGCCAGAAAAAGGGGAAAAACCCTATTAAGTATGCCAGACAGTGTAAACATATCGTCAACGACTGCCGAATAGGATTATTCGACAGCGATCTCTAAAACAATTCCACGTGGCTTCACCTGAAGCAGTGGCAGAAGAAGAATTGGACGTTGAATTTTTTTTCTCAAGACCGCTACGGAGCATAAAAGAATGCGAATGAGCCGGGTGATACATTTCGAGCTTCTGTACCTAAAAAAACCACGATCGCCATATCACAATAGTTTGCTTAACTTGTTTTGAGAGAAGCGCACTCTTCACGCTCTATCAGCGATGTCTTCCCTGCGGCGTGACGCTCGCCACCTGGTTCTCCCTTGCCACAGCACTTCTGTGGCAGGCGTCTGAGCCGGAGGGGGGGGGGGGGTGAATGTGCGTTGTAGATTAACTCCAACCCGTTGGAAACAAAAAAAAAACAGTTTCCTTGTCGATTTTCCCATTTGCATCACGGTCGGTCGCAGAGTTTGCTGGAAATGGGGGGGGGAGGGGGGTGGCATTGTGCAGGAGACCAGAAGACGGGTAATGGGGGGGGGGGACATTTTTCTTCCTGAGGACTGAATAGGACTTTCTAAACTAAAACTACTGAACAATTTTTAAATCCTTTATATTAAGTTCGCTTGCTTGCTTGCGTGCTTGCGTGCTTGCTTGCTTGCTTACGACCGTGCAAATCTTTTGGTCGTTTTTTAACCCACTTCCCGTGATCCAATCGAGCTGACATTTTGCACACAGACTCGTTGTGCGAGACAATTAATGTTCGTGAAATTTTACAATCTTTAGGGAAAACAAATTATATATTTAATTACCAATTGCTTAATAATGGCAGACAATCATCTGACCCATAGGTGGCAGCCATCTCAAGCCAGAGGACGAGAGGACTCTAGCTGCCACGCATATAAAGGATTTAGAGTGAAAAACTTTGTTTTTACGGGTTATACTTATTCGTTTTACCAGGTCAGGGCCCCACTGAGCTACGTAGCTCTTCCTCAGAAGCGACCTGGCCGTCACAAATGATGGCTCCAACGTAGTGGTTCTTAAATTTTTATTTAAAGCTTTCGTGACTGCAGGGATACTTATTCTTGGTTCTTTTGGTAAAGTCACGTAGAAGGGAAACAATAAAATAATAAAAATATTATTTTGTTTCCCTTCTACGAGACTTTTTTATTGTTTCCCTTCTACGTGACTTTACCGAAAGAACCAAGAATATGAAGTGGTTTTTGTCGTCATCGCGTGGAACACTTCTGGCAGCCAATAAACACGCGCTTCGTTCTAAAACGCGGAGGGGGGGAAAACCCGGAGGGACCCGGAGGAAAAATCCACGTGACCAAGAGGGGAGAGAGAGAGACACGCAAACTCCAAATATGCAGCAGCAGGCGTCAAGGTCGGGATTTTGACCTCCCACGACCTTTCAACTGTCATTGTCCCTTCTCACTGCAGGAAACCCTTGCAATAACAGAAGTTTTCAGGCTATAAAAATGTCCCTCTGGTATCCATTCAGTGCAGCTAAAGATGCTCGCAGTGATGGGTAAATATTGTTTTTGGACGGCCTTGTGGCCATATGAAATTAAGTTGCGCGCCAAACCTCGCCCCCCCCTACCCCTGCCATAGAATTCCTGTCCAGGTAGCGATTTGTTGTCGGCATCCCCGGACACCTTTGATCTTTATCCTGATCGAAACTGCAGTTTGCATTGCATCGTCTACACGCTACACCGGGAATTTTTATCGGTGGGCTTTTGGCAACATTCCGCTGATCAACGTTGCATTCACAAGTTGTCGTGTTTTGCCTCATCTGTTGGCTCCGTGTCATTTTGTTGTGAAATGGGTTTTTACCGAGATTCTGGAAAAATGCGTGGTGCGAAAAAAATCAGTTCGGACGGACGTAGTTTAGTTGAGGAATTTTATTTGAGCACTTATGAGGTCGAAGGCACGTGGCCACGTAGCTGGGATTATAAGCGTAGCATCGTGTTGTGACAGCAGTCCAGTACGGAAGGTAGGTAGAGTCCTTGCGATACAGAAGTTCAACAATATTCACAGCCAGGATCAAGCAACTGAGCACACTGAGTGGCTGGCATGTGACCCATCCGGCTTTATGAGCTGGTGTGTGTCGGAAAGGTCCTGATGCATTCGGTGCACAGATTAAAATCTGAAGAGATGTGAGGTTTTTAAAATATGTCTGACAGAATGGAACATTGAGTGATACGATCAAATACGTTTTTTGTAAGTCCAATTCTCATGGTTACTGTATAGTGATCTGTGACCTCTCCAGCATGAGGGGCTTTCCTCGAGAAAACTATGCCAAGGAGTAACGATGTTGCTGCCAGCAGACCTGGGTGGATGACGACTTTTGGTGGTGGTCATCACGGCTGCTTGAGCGTTCCCACGAACAGCCGGCCGTAGTTTTACCCATAGCGAGTCCTTGTTTAACGCGGTCGATGCGTTCCTGAAAAGTGCCGCGTTACGCGTAAACCATTTTATACTCTTGGGTTCATTCGTATGATACACAGTATGATACACATTAGGGTGGGTAGAATAATACATAGTGTTATATTAAAATGGATAAGGCAGCAACTGCAGCAGCAGCAGCAAGTGCAGCAGCAGCAGCAAGTGCAGCAGCAGCAGCAAGTGCAGCAGCAGCAGCAAGTGCAGCAGCAGCAGAAACTGCAGCAGCAGCAGCAACTGCAGCAGCAGCAGCAACTGCTGTAGCAGCAGCAACTGCTGTAGCAGCAGCAACTGCAGCTCCCTTTGATGCTGTTAATCCTGCATAATGCACATGCATATGCAGTACTAATCACATTCCTGCATTTCCCATAAATATGCTAAATTCCTTTTGATATGCAAATTCCTTTGTCAATGCGCCCAGCTTATATATATGCTCCAAGCTCGTGTGCTGTTTCATTCAGTCACGTAGAAGGGAAATAATAAAATAATAAAAATAAAACATAATTAAATAATTCTCACGACGTTTCGGCCACAACGCAAGCAGCCGTCCTCAGGTGAAGAACAGGTCTGTCGGGAAGACAGCGTTCCAGATGACCGCAGAAGCGCATCTGAAAGCGCGCGATGCAGTGACCATCTTTGTTCGATCGCCAAAAGCCGCTGCGAGGATGACCGGAGTTTGTGATGATTGTTTATGCGCCTTGACGAAATCGGCGAGGTATCGTGGTTCATTTGTGGCGAGCACTTTGTGTGTAATGAGTGAGACTTGACAATGGATTCGTTGAGCGACCGGAAGCCAACGCAGCTCGGAGCGCACTTGACGGACACGGTCGGATTTTGAAGTGCCCGTCACGACACCGTGCCAACGAATTTTGTACACGCTGCAGCTTGGTAATGTTTTTGGCAGGTGTCCCGTCGAAAGGAGTTGCAATAATCGAGCCTAATCGATATATTACGCTGCACGCCACCGTGTTGGGTGGTGTCAGTTAAGCGAGGGTAATTGGCATTTGTGAGGAAATGTAGAGTAGCTAGAGGAAACAACAAGATGTAAAATCTTCTTGGTTTTTTAGGTAAAGTCACGTAGAAGGGAAATAAAATAATAAAAATAAAACATAATAAATAATATTTTATTATTTTTTATATTTAGTATTTTATAATATTTTATTATGTTTTATTTTTATTATTTTATTTCCCTTCTACGTGACTTTACCGAAAGAACCAAGAAGATGAATCCCTGCAGTCACGAAAGCTTTAAATTGAAATTTAAGATGTAAAATGTACACATCACTGACCGTCATTAAGTAAAGTATTGCCTCGTTATTCACGAACTTTCAATCTGCGATTTTGGCTATTCGCGAATCACATCTGTAACTCACGACTGCATCGAGAGCGAGGTAAATTGATGAGAGAAAAGTAAGTTAATAAAAAAAACTGATTGAATTTATTTTTATTTTACGTTTCGGATAACCAATTTGTTTTATTGCCGTTATTATAATTTTCACGTATTTAATATCTTATTTACGTATTTATTTTAGGTTGATTCATACAAAAATGTAGGTTTTTTTTAAAGCCCGTGCACTATGAATTTACACGTGCTGATAATAAGCCACTTCGTTGAGCTATCATTTGTGATGGCCAGGTCACTTCTGGCTATCACATGATAAGGCTCAGTGGTAAAATAAAAAATATTAAAGTTTTTTTTGTATTTTGGATCAACTTTAGGAGAGTTATCAAGACTGCGCCCCCCCTGATTACGACATTCCTTTTCAACGCTGTAGGTTATTTGATTAGCCATTTTCAGTGACCCCTGGGTGTGATGCAAATGAGACTTATACAGGTAGAAACAACAGTTCCACACTGCCCACCAGAGATTATTTGTCTGTCTGTCGTGCATAGCCACGCCCTCTATATATTTCATAGAAGAGCGCTTCGGGCGGGCTCATCACCACGTGACGCGCCGCCCCACACAGCTTGCGCCGCGTGACACGGATCGCACGAATGCGCTGTCCAACCAAGTTCCTACCTTTCGATTTAAAGCTTTCGTGACTGCAGGGATTCATCTTCTTGGTTCTTTCGGTAAGTCACGTAGAAGGTGAAGACCAGGTCTGTCGGGGAGACGGCGTCTGTCTCCCCGACAGACCTGGTCTTCACCTGAGGACGGCTGCTTGCGTTGTGGCCGAAACGTCGTGAGAATTATTTTATTATGTTTTATTTTTGTTTTATTTCATTATATCACTTCTACGTGACTTTACCGAAATAACCAAAGAGTGTGAATCCTTGCAGTCACGAAAGCTTCAAATCGAAATTTAATTATGTTTTATTTTTATTAATTTATTACTTCCCTTCTACGTGACTTTACCGAAAGAACCAAGAAGAAGTTCCTACCTGCCCACTCCGAAGGAACGTGTTCCTGGTCTCTTGATTTCTGCTGTACACCCGTGAAAACTCCCGGGCATCTGTGGGAAAAAGAGCTTCGTAGCTCATCGGATTCTTCCGGTATAAAAAAAGTTCCTATTTCTGATCCCTCTCGCCTGGTTCGCGTTCGACCTCCGTCGGAAAGCGTCTTAACCACCAACTCTTGTCGTGAACCCCCACGCCAGATTCCCATGGAGATGGAGCGGGACCAGGTGCATTGCCGTCAGTCTCTCCTGCCACGACGGCCAATGCCTCGACTGCGATCGCCCCCAACGTCACCGCTGCGCCCACCACAGCGAACGGCACGCTGACGCCACCCACAGGTGAACGTGCGGGGTGGTGGGGGTGGTGGTGGGCACTGATGCGGCAGCATGGGGCAGAGGTCGCAAACGGGTTTTGATTCCTTACCCGTACTCGGCCGCACCAGGGTCGCAAACGGGTACCCGTACCCTACCCGATACCCGGCTGCCCGTACCAGAAAGCTTCAAATCAAGATTGATACATTTGTTTACTTCTCAGAACCATGTTGTGTCAGGCAAAGAGGGTACTCTGAAACAATTCAAGAAAGTACCCTACAGTAGCCCAAAAAAGGTTGAACCACCGGTGGTAGAGCATCTCTATTTCCTATTGCATTTGAAGAACTGAAAATGTTATGTATGGATGCATGTTGAACGTCTTTCGCGCCGTACGTAGCCAACTGCTGATCCGAGGTTCGGGGGAAAGATGACAAAACTAAACACAAAAAGCAGTTCTCAAGAAATGAGTTTTCACTCGAGATTTAAAAAAAAAGTGCACAGCTCCAGCGGCTTCCTAATATCGGAAGGAAGAGCGTTCCAGACGGCCGTAGAAGCGTGTCTGAAAGCGCGCGATGCGGTGACCATTATCTTTTTTCGATGATTAGCCAGAACCTGCTGCTGCTGCGAGGATGACCGGAGTTTGCGTGACGAGATGAGCGAGGTATTGTGGTTCATTTGTGGCTCGCATTTTGTGTGCAATGAGTGCGAACTGCTAACGTATTCGCTCGGCAAATGGAAACCAATGCAGCTCCAGGGAGCACTGGACGGACACGGTCGGATCTTGCAATACCCGTCACAAAGACTTTTGTACACGCTGAAGCTTATAATTAACTGTGTGGCAAGTTTGGTAATCAATTCGATGGCATCAGGAGTTTATTGATGTATAGTGTTTGTGTAGCGAGTTGGGTAGGGGTGTGGAGGTAGGGGATGGCGATGGATAGAGGGTAGGGGATAAGGCGTGTGGGGTCAACGAGTTTGGGGGTAAAGGAGGGTGGGGGGGATACAGAGTTGAGAATGGGGTGTGTGGGTAGAGGGTGGGTGTGGGGCATGGGGGTAGAGAGTTGAGGATATGTTGTGAGTGTTGTGAGTGTGGGGAATGGGGGTGCCGCGTGTATGAAGATATGCCGTGGGGGGGGGGTAGGGGTTTGGGGTGTGGGGGTAGAGTTGGCAGTTGAGAGGTTGGGTTGGAGCATTGTGGATAGGGTGTGGGCTCGTGGTGTGGGAATAGCGAGTTGGCAGTAGACGCTGCGTTGAGGGTGTAGTGTGGGGGGTAGAGGACGCGTCTGAACGACGTTACTGTTCCCCCCCCGCCCCCCGTTGTTCTCTCGCCTCTCAGCAGCAAACGTAACGCAGAGTGCGAAGCCCTCTCCTGCGAACAGCACCGTGCCGCCCAGCTCTGCCGGCCCACACAATGCCAGCACAGCCGCGTCCAGCGGTAACACACACCGCACACACACCGCACACACACCGCACACACACCGCACACACAACGCGCACAACGCGCACAACGCGCACAACGCGCACAACGCGCACAACGCGCACAACGCGCACAACGCGCACACACCGCACACAACGCACACAACGCACACAACGCACACAACGCACACACCGCGCACACCGCGCACACCGCGCACACCGCGCACACAACGCACACACAACGCACACACACCGCACATACCGCAGGGGACCCAGAAAATAATTTGGTGTTTTGCACGTGAGGGCCACAGGACCACGAAGGGTTTATTTTCTCACTCTATTTTCCAGAACAATGCCAGGCAGGCTAGGAGTAGGGATTTGTCATTGTAATGCACGACCACGAGAGTGCAAGATATGCATATCCATAATAAACTAATATTATTGTAGCCTGTATTCTTAAGGACTGGCTGTCCTTCAGGACATCTGGTAACCCTAACCACTATTCGCACTCTTTTTGCACCCCACAACACACACACACACCCCACCCCACACACACACATACACTACGGCATGCACACAGCACCGCACCAACAACAACAGCTGGCATTCGCCGCAAAGTATCGGTGATGTCACCGCGGTGTTTGTGCCAGGCCACGTGAATTGTCGAAGGCTTGCTGATAGGACGTCACGGGACAGACATGTGCTATGGATTGGCTGACTGATATGACGAGCAGATGCACCACCTGTGCCCCCCACTGTGCCAACTTTCTGTGTTTTATCTGCCTGGCGCTCAGCTTATTGTTGTGAGCATCGCTCCACTGCCCTCTGCTGTTGTTGGAGGGCGACTGCATTCAACTGCCAATTGGCGTCCTTCACGAGCCTCCTCCATAGAGGCCAAACTTGACACCGCTGGTACCAGTCTTCGGCAAGTCTCACTCGGCTCCACATCTTCCTGTACCGCATCGGTCCATCTCCTCTCCAGCCCGTGCTGTGCCCGTTTAGCCCCCTCTATGCGGGCAAACAGAAGCTGCTTGGGCATGCTGTGGCTGGGCATACGGGCTACGTGACCCACCCAACGTACACCACCACTCAGAATCGCGAGAACAAAATAAGGCGAAATAGATTTGTTTAACACGTAGGCTTTCGCGACCAATATTATTCATAATCAACGTTTTTGGGTTTAGATCGCGTTTATTTATAAATGTGTCGTAACCCTCCACCACCCGACACGGCCAATCAGTAAAAAATGTGTCACGTTGACAAAGACAAATAGTTCACTGCTTTAGCCCACCGGTGTGTTGAAGCCATTCTGGCGAATTGCCCGATGATGCTGGATGCAATTACCAGCGACACGTCGTACTCAAATTGTAAATGTTGTGGCTTCAACACACCGGTGGGCTAAAGCAGTGAACTATTTGTCTTTGTCAACGTGACACATTTTTACTGATTGGCCGTGTTGGGTGGTGGAGGGTTACGACACATTTATAAATAAACGCGATCTAAACCCAACAACGTTGATTATGAAATAGATTTGGCGTGCCAAAATAATTCCCCGAACAGTGCTCCAGACTATCCCGGCTTAAATAGTCGATTACTCTACCCGATTTATAATTTTGATTACTCGACGAATCTGATTACACGCAAGTCTCACCTCTGTTTTCCCCGTGTGCGCCTCTGGATGGGAGGTGATGGGTAGGGCTTGAGGATGTCGACAGTCGGTCGTGTCGCGCTGGACATCCCTCGGGAGACGAAACAAAAAAACTATCAAACTTTGTTTATTTTATTTTGCCACGTAAGGCCCACTGAGCCATGTAGATCTTTCAGAAGCGACCTGGCTATCACAAATGATAACCCAACGAGAAGTGGCTTATTGTCACGTGGAAACATATATAGCAGCCAAAAACTCTTACATCCGTAATGTTGATTCTAAAAAATGGAGGAAAAAACCAGAGGACCCAGAGAAAAATCCACACGACCATGGGAGAAAGACACAAACTCCAAATATACAGCAGCAGCCGTCAGGGTCGGGATCGAACCCACGAGCTTCTGTATACCAGGCGAGGTAGTTAACATCTCCTAGCCACCGTGATGATGATGAGAGAGACACGCAAACTTCAAATATACAGCAGCAGGCGTAAGGGTCTACGTGACTTTACCGAAAAAACCTAAGAGTATGAATCCTTGCAGTCACGAAAGCTTCAAATCTGGAAGTAAGGGTCGGGATCGAACCCACGACCTCCTGTGCACCAGGCGAGGTAGTTAACATCTCCTAGCCACCGTGATGATGATGAGAGAGACACGCAAACTCCAAATATACAGCAGCAGGCGTCCGGGTCGGGATCGAACCCACGACCTCCTGCGTTCCAGGCTTGGGTAGCCAAGATTTACAAGCCACCGCAGCGCCCGACCGTAGGATCTGCCTTGGTAATCGAAGACGAAGGGAGTCTATTCGATAATTTTCGGGCCATTTGATCGACGTCGGTGTCCCCAGCTCTTCCTTGAGACTCGGCGAGGCACTCTCCCTCGTGAGGTGGATCGCGCAGTACACTTGGGGTGTCGTTTGTATGCACTGTGAGGCCTGTTTGTGTATGCAACACAAGCTGCAATCTGGAATCCTAGCCGCTCTCGGTGGTATAACACGGCCATTCTGAGTCCTTGGGAACCACTCGGCTATCCTTAAAAACCCGCCTCCTTTTATGTACGTACCTTGAACTTGCTTCGCACCGTACGTGACCGTGCTAATCGGAGGATGGGTGTGTGGGTGGGTGAGAGTGTGTGGGTGAGAGTGTGTGGGTGAGTGACTGTACGTTGAACTTCTTTTGCACCATACGTAGCCACCCGTGCTAATCGGAGGATGTCTAATCCCTTGTGGTGTCCGCGATGCCGGACCTTGTCTGACTCCTCCACAGTGACGCCCAACAACGCCACCAATGGCACGACGTCTAGCCCCGCGGCCTTCTCCACCGCCCCCGCCCACGCCTCATCCACGGCCTGTGAGTACGCACGGCGTCACGTCCGCCGGCGAGCTCGCGATGCGTAGAGACGCTTGATGCTGTGACGAAGCGGAGGCTAACAGCAGGCGTTTAATGGGTGCTGGCGAGTCGTGCTAGTTGATGCGTGTGTGTAGCTGGCGATGGGTGTGGCACCATCGAGCGGGCAGGTGGCAAGATGTTAACTCCTTCGCCTGCGATGCCGGAGGGCGTGGGTTCGATCCCGACTACTGACGCCTGCTGCTGTAGAATTTGCATGTGTGTGGTGCGAATAGAGGTGCTTGTGGGGAGTGTAACTAGAAACTGGTGCGAGTTAAGTCGTGCTATGAACTCAACGACTGAGTTAGATTCCCGCTCCAAGCCGATAACAGAGGTGAATATTTATACCAGTCCTGGGCCACCTAGTTCTGGTTGACTCGAGGGAGTTGGGTGGGTGCTGGCCCACCCACCCACCCCTCGTAGGTGCTCCTCGCATCACAGCACTTGCCCCAATAGTCTGTTAAGGCTACACGGGGGATATTTGTCTCTGTGCCTGTGCATGTGTTAGCCGGTTGGTGTGGGGTTCCACCGAGGTGAGTTGGTGGAGCGAGTCTGAGCACGTGGGTGCGTGTGTTCCCGCGCGCGCGTGTGTGTGTGTGCTCGCGCGTTGCTGGCCACCCACCCCCCTTGTGTACCGTGCCGGCCTTTGTAGGTGCTCCTCGCAAATATCACTTGCCCCAACAGTCTGTTAAGGCTACACGGGGGATCTTTGTCTTTGTTGCGTGTGTGTGCGTGTAGCGGCCGCGGGCGTCGTGCCGTCGGACGGGTCTGTCCGCTCGTTCGACGCCGTGAGCTTCGTGGGCGGCGTGGTGCTGGCCGTGGCGGTGCAGGCGCTGCTGTTCTTCGCCTTCAAGTACTTCCGTACGCGCAACCCGCGCTACCAGCACCTGTAAGTGGGGTCCGCGCCACCGCGAGGTTCGTCCCCACGGCTCGCCCTGCTTATTCTTCCTCCTCCTCCTGTCTGCGTGTGTGTGTGTGCGCGGGCTCGGGAAGAGACGGAATGATGTGGAGCTGAGCGGACTTTGGCCGATGTCCGGTACCAGTGGTGTCAAGATCGGCCTCTGCAGATGAGGCTCGTGAAGGACGCTGCTGCCTGGCAGTTGGAGGCAGTCGGTCGCTCTCCAGCAACGACGGAGGGCAGAGGAGGGACGCTCGGAACAACGAGCGGAGCGCCCAGGACGGTTAAAACGCAGCGAGTTGGCATAGGAAGGGGGGAACAGATGGCGCATCTGCCAGTCATCTCGGTCAACCCATGGCACTCCTGGGTCTGTCACGTGACCTGCCGGCGCACGTTTGACAATTCACGTGGCCTTTCAAAGTGCGCGCAGACTGGCACAAGTGCCGTGGTGACGTCACCGCCACTCGGTGACGAACGGCGGCTGTTGTACCTGCGGTGCACCTGCTGTGTTGTGCTTCTGTAACAAATCACTTTGTGTGGCGTCTCCGTTTTGTTCGGATGTCGCGTTTATTTGACTCGTCGCACGCGGCAAATAGTCGGTAATTTTTTAGCGGTCGGAAACTAAATGAGCGCGCGTGAATCGCAGAGCTGTCAATCCATACGGTTTGCCAGTATTCTTGTAGAGGGAAATTGAGTTTTCAGGTCCATACGGCGTACATCTGTTTCAATACGGACGATTTTCTTTTGTCTATTTGTTTTGTGCTTCTCCCTTGTGATGGGACTTTGTTAGGATCATGGGTGGAAAAAACCCGATTTTTCCAGCGGCAGGCATCGGGTTTTTCATTAATACAATTAAACCCGATTTCGGGGAATTAGAACCTGGTTTAATGAATACGAAACTCTGATAGGCTTAGGCTGCTTCCTCGTCGGTGCTGCTATCGTACTCGTGGCCATCGGGCACGGGATAGTCGTAGAATGCAGAGGTGGGACAAAGTCATTGTTATGCAAGTCCAAGTCGAGTCTCAAGTCATCAAATTCATGACTCGAGTCTGACTCGAGTCCAAGTCACATGACTCGAGTCCACACCTCTGGTAGAATGCAGCGGGCAGGTTGGTCTTGATGAACACGAGCTTCTCCTCCACACTCGTGGGCGCCAGTGAGTTCCTTAGCTTGGAATGGATGAAGCCCATCGTTGAGAAGTTGGCGAAGTGCGGTTCTGCAATTAGAACCGATTAAACCGGATTTCTCCCAATCTCAGATGATCGGGTTTAATATAAAAAGACAATTAAACCCGATTGTAAAAAACCCCGACTGTGCCACCCTTGGTATGGATCAACGTTGAGATTCGTAAGGGGCACGGAGGTGACCAATAAGGTCTGAATCGGTCTGTAATAAGGTAGGGCGCTGATAAGGGGTTGACGGGTACGGGATCGCGAATGGGTGGACAAAAAAAACTACAAACAAATGAAAGCAAGAGGTGGCCAGAAGAGAAAATGAGGTGCCTGTCCCAGTAATCTCCTATGTTTTGGTTTACTAGGGGACCTAGAGATGGGGATTTAAGAGAAGGGGTGGCAGGAACAGAGCTGTAAATGTGCAGCAAGGGTAGTCTATAAAAATGTGGAGCAGCAAAGTCGAAATGTGTTTTCTTATCAAATGGCATTGTAAATTGTGTATCTAAAAATGCTGTCTAATGTTGTACAGCTATAAGTGTTGTCGGAGGTAAGTTGGATGTATCCAGTAGGTGGTGCTAAGCGGGGGTTCTAGTTGTCAGGATTAGCCCTTGGCCGCGCCTCCGATTTTAGCACGGTTGACTACGTACGGTGCGAGAGAAGTTCTAGACACATGCATACACTCATCCACTCACATAGCCACTCACCCCACCACCCAATATAACCAATGAGTAAGGGTTGTCACGTAAACACAACGTGCAAATTGGTTACTAGTTCAGCATGAACCGGTTTGTGTTGGAGTGTAAACCCACTACAACATTTACAATTTGTGATGTTTCACAACTACAACCAGTATCATGAGACGTACAGCCAGAGTCCAACACAGCGGTGCGTGGCTGAGCTAGTAACAAATTGGGGGACGTTGTCTTTACGTGACAAACTTTACTTAATTGTGGCAGGGTAGTGGCGGTTTTAACGACACATTTATATTTACGCGATCTAAAACAAAAACCTCGAGTTTCCATTGCGGTGATTTTAGCACAGGGCGTGAACTCGTAGCTTAGGTTTGCCGCGGCACGGTGATGCTGAATCGCACGATTTAAATGTCCACTATAAATGTCTTGTTCGTTTTGCAAAATATCGTGACGGGCATTGTATTTCTATATTTTAATATTCTGTCTCTGGTCAATAAATATATGTGAAATGACAAACTCCCTAATTAAGGTAGTAAATAAATGGCTATTATCTTTTAAATGTGTGCTTGGTAGAATGTTTGCCAGAACAGTTGACGGCGGGGGGATTATTACGTGACCTCAGCATTTTCGTAGTCGGTTTAATTAATTTTAGCTTACCTGGCGGCATGTTGTTTTTTAGGCATGCTTTTATTAGCGTCATAAGTTGCAACGAGATTCGGAAGACTTGCACCGGTCGTACGTTGATCGAACTGCAGTTTTAAGAGCTTTTAAATCGCCTTTATTCGTTAACAGCGCAGCAAAGCAACTCTTAACACGGTAAAATAAAAATTTACCGTACAAAGTTACTTTAACCGATAATTGCGACAATCGCCATGCTGTAAAATTTGACGTGGGCGTCACGTGATTTTAAAAGTGATGCGAAAAGTTTATTGTTGTGGCGACTGACGGTATCGTGAAGTTTGATTTACGTCTCGAATAACGACCGATTGATGATATTTGGCGGACAGCCGAGGGGTGTGAACGTGCGGGTTTTGCTCTGTAACGAGACCCCCCCGATTAAACTTTCTTTTTTTGTCTCCAGGGGAGACACGGACGCCATCATCTGAGACGACGGACACTCAAGTCTGCGGAGATGCTCCTTGTCCTCCCCCGTGTCTCCTCCTCCTCAACCCTCCCCGTCACACACCCTGCGATGGCACCCCTGGGTTTAATTGTGCCACCCCCTACGATGTCACGCCTTACCGCTGCGGATAATTGTGCCACCCCCCCCCTACCATCACACGCCTTGCGATGGCACCGCTGGGATTAATTGTGCCACCCCCCCTACTATCACATGCCTTGCGATGGCACCGCTGGGGTTAATTGAGCCCACCCCCTACCATCACATGCCTTGCGATGGCACCCCTGGGATTAATTGTGCCACCCCCCTACTATCACATGCCTTGCGATGGCACCGCTGCGGTTAATTTTGCCATCCCCTACCATCACACACCTTGGGATGGCACCGCTGGGGTTAATTGTGCCATCCCCTACCATCACACGCCTTGCGATGGCGCCGCTGCGGTTAATTGTGCCATCCCCTACCATCACACGCCTTGCGATGGCACCGCTGGGATTAATTGAGCCCACCCCCTACCATCACACGCCTTGGGTTGGTGCTGTTGGGGTTAATTGTGCCATCCCCTACTATCACACGCCCTGCGATGGCACCGCTGCGGTTAATTGTGTTACCGTGGGGAAAACTGTAGTACTCCTCAAAACCGTTCACAAATCATTGGGCTCTGTTCTTTTACTTCAGGTGATTTTTTTTTCTCTCTCCAACGAGATTAACGTTGGTCTTTACTAAGCAATGAAATAATGTTGATGTAGCCGCATAAAAGAAAAAAATCGGTGCCAACGGCACCTTGAAATTTGCTTTGGGATTCGCCTTAAGAATTTGCTGCGCGCGTCGATTTGATTGTCGTAAATTAGGCGGTCGCTTTGGATTCTGCTGTTCTATTTCTTTATTTTCTCCGAAGCAAACTTTTTTTGGGGGAGATGGGATTATGCGGGATATACTTTATGCAAAAAAAAATAATCGCGAGTGAAAATCATAATCGTATCGTTACCAGAGATTGTTTTTTTTCCTTCCAAAGACTTAAATAAAAAATAATGTATTTAAACAATTACTTGCCGTTGATTTGTGATACTGTCGTGATGTATTGAGTAGGTGAGTGACTATCTGAGTGGGTGACTGTGAGTCTGTGTGTATGTTGAACTTCTTTTGCACCGTACATAGCCAGCCGTGCTAATCGGAGATGGGCGAGTGTGTGTGGGTGAGTGACTACGTGAGTCTGTGTCGGCATGATTGCGTTGTGCGTCGGTGTTTCTTTTGTCGCTGGCATTGTCGGCACAAGCTCCGATTTTTTTTTCCTGCACGGTTTCCATGCCGCAGCCTTGCTTCCCCCCCCCCCCCAATCTGTGAAAACGTGTGGGGTTGGGGGCAGCTTGAGCGCTGCTGCGTTCAAAATCAGCAGTGTCTGTGGCACTGGTCATCCACAAGGGGGCGCGTTCCATCCGCCAGACAAGTGGAGGTTGAATGAAAATTCTAGATTTGAAGCTTTCGTGACTGCAAGGATTCATACTCTAAGTTCTTTCGGTAAGGTCACGTAGGTAAAAAATGAAATTAAAATTAATAAAATAGTTTTTATTTTTTTATTAATTTTATTTTTACCTACGTGACTTTACTGTTGAATGAAAAGTTTTTTTGTTTCCCCCCCCCAGCGATTTCTCTGCACAGATGCCCGCATTTTGGAGAAGAGAAAAAAAACCTAGATTTGTTTTTTGAGTGTTCTTGGGTTTGTTATTACCGCGTGTTTGTCGGCATTGGATGTCCGATGGTTCGCTCCCTGGAAAAGCTTATCAGCACGCGGAGCGAAACGTCGGACAACGGTGGAATCCGTGCGCACGCGGGATGGTGCCCACTGCATGGCGGCAGCAGCAACAACGGCCAACGCCGTCAATCGAATTCGTGCGAGCGCCGTGAATCCATTTCGTGTCTCTTTTGAAGCAAGGAGATTTCTCTTGTTTTTTTCGGTAAAGTCACGTAGAAGGGAAGTAATAAAATAATAAAAATAAAACATAATATTATATTATTTTATTATGTTTTATTATTATTGTATTGCTTCCCTTCTACGTGACTTTACCGAAAAAACCAAGAAGATGAATTCCTGCAGTCACGAAATCTTTAAATCGAAATTTAAAGCAAGGAGATTGTCGCAAACCAAGCGATTTAGACGCGGCGTGGCGTTATCGCGTTGAACACCCGCACCTGCGATTTTTAGCACGGTTGGCTACGTACGGTGCGAAAAGTTGAAAATACGCACAAAAAGACTCGCATAGTCACTCACTCATCCACTCTCATAGCCACTCGCCCACACACCCATCCGATAGGCACGGTTGCGGCTACATACGCTGCCAAAAGTTCAACGTTTGTACGTCCACGATTTGTGTTCTCAAGTCCAGAGAGTGTCAAGGCCCGAAGACGGTTTCTCCTTGGGTGTGTCATAGATCGTTCATAAAAGCTGACAACAGCCCCACCTCGTGCACACGTCACGAGTCGCCACTGCAACTGAGACTCTTTCCGGAGGCGTTAACACATTCCTGCGGAGGGAGCTGGTAGGAACGTCGGGTTTCTCGGTCAATGGCCAGGGTCAACGGCGGCGTGGTGTATTCCGCAAATATGGCGTTTTGCCCCTCAAATTTTGCGTTTAATGTTTTTTTGCGAGCGTATTATTTTTTAAACGAAGAGGAATACTTTCGTCGGGTTGTCCAACCAATACATTCTCGCACACGCTCACCGACGCGCAAGCGAGGGGGTGAAGATGCTGAGACAGCGAGATGATGATCATGATGACTATATTTTTTTACCAGGTAAGGCCAACTGAGCAATGTAGCTTTTTAAAAAAAATCAGAAGCGACCTGGCTCTCGCAAATGATTGCCCAACGAAGTTGCTTCTAGTGTGCACATTTATAGCAGCCAAATACTCTAAACGCGTGGTGTTGATTCTAAATGTGGAGGGGAAAACCGGAAGACCCCGGAGAAAAATCCACGCGACCACGGGGAGAGAGACACGCAAACTCCAAATATTCAGCAGGCGTCAGGGTCGGGATCGAACTCAACCTCCTGCATACCAGGCGAGGTGGTTAACATCTCCTAACCACCGTGATGATGATGATGAGAGACACGCAAACTCCAAATATTCAGCAGGCGTCAGGGTCGGGATCGAACTCAACCTCCTGCATACCAGGCGAGGTGGTTAACATCTCCTAACCACCGTGATGATGATGATGAGAGACACGCAAACTCCAAATATTCAGCAGGCGTCAGGGTCGGGATCGAACTCAACCTCCTGCATACCAGGCGAGGTGGTTAACATCTCCTAGCCACCGTGATGATGAGAGACACGCAAACTCCAAATATTCAGCAGGCGTCAAGGTCGGGATCGAACTCACAACCTCCTGTATACCAGGCGAGGTAGTTAACATCTCCTAACCACCGTGATGATGATGATGAGAGAGAGATACGCAAACTCCAAATATACAGCAGCAGGCGTCAGGGTCGGGATCGAACCCACGACCTCCTGTATACCAGGCGAGGTAGTTAACATCTCCTAGCCACCGTGATGATGATGATGAGAGAGAGACGCAAACTCCAAATATACAGCAGCAGGCGTCAGGGTCGGGATCGAACCCACGACCTCCTGTATACCAGGCGAGGTAGTTAACATCTCCTAGCTACCGTGATGATGAGAGAGACACGCAAACTCCAAATATACAGCAGGCGTCAGGGTCGGGATCGAACTCACAACCTCCTGTATACCAGGCGAGGTAGTTAACATCTCCTAGCCACCGTGATGATGATGAGAGAGAGAGAGGCACGCAAACTCCAAATATACAGCAGCAGGCGTCAGGGTCGGGATCGAACCCACGATCTCCTGTACACCAGGCGAGGTAGTTAACATCTCCTAGCCACCGTGATGATGATGATGAGAGAGAGACGCAAACTCCAAATATACAGCAGCAGGCGTCAGGGTCGGGATCGAACCCACGACCTCCTGTATACCAGGCGAGGTAGTTAACATCTCCTAGCTACCGTGATGATGAGAGAGACACGCAAACTCCAAATATACAGCAGGCGTCAGGGTCGGGATCGAACTCACAACCTCCTGTATACCAGGCGAGGTAGTTAACATCTCCTAGCCACCGTGATGATGATGAGAGAGAGAGAGGCACGCAAACTCCAAATATACAGCAGCAGGCGTCAGGGTCGGGATCTAACCCACGATCTCCTGTACACCAGGCGAGGTAGTTAACATCTCCTAGCCACCGTGATGATGATGATGAGAGAGAGAGACGCAAACTCCAAATATACAGCAGCAGGCGTCAGGGTCGGGATCGAACCCACGACCTCCTGTAGACCGAGCGAGGTGGATGACATCTCCGAGCCACCGCGATCGCAGACGGAACTGCAGTGAAACCCATTCGTGTTGCTGGGCGGACAGAGGCGACGGTGGGACGAGGGATGTGGGGGTTGCATACCTGTCAACGACTTCTTGGTTCTTTCGGTAAAGTCACGTAGAAGGGAAATAATAAAATAATAAAAATAAAACATAATAAAATAATTCTCACGACGTTTCGGCCACAACGCAAGTGTAGGGATTATTACTGGAGAAACGGCGGACAACAAACACAGGGGTGTTGGCACTCACACACACGGGTGGTCACACCGACGTCCGCATCCGTTATTGCCCACGCCCCCAGCCCTCGGAGGTGATCCCTATAAAAGGTCGGGAGCCAGAGAGCTCGGGGCAGTTCTACACGAAGCGGACCAGTGAAGATCGAAGGCTCGGAGATTAGGCCCTGGGACTCCCCGGTCTCGCCGTCCTTATAAGGGCCGAGCCGGGTAAGCCAGCGGCGCGGCCCAAAGCTCCCAGACCGCTGCCCTTATCAGGGTAAGGCTGGTTAGCTGGTGCCGAGATCTGTGCTTGCCAGGGCCAGATCAGTCAGCCTCCCGTAGCCCAGTAGAGGAGGACTGGGGAACAGGACAGAGGGCTTAGTACTAGGGTGGGTTTCCCATAGTACGGGTGAAGGGGCCCGATACCCCTTCAACTATTGTGCCTGTCCCTGGGTTAATAAACAGTGTGCCTCAACTCCGACATCGTCTCTAACTTACTACACAAGCAGCCGCCCTCAGCTGTCTCCCCGACAGACCTGGTCTTCACCTGAGGACGGCTGCTTGCGTTGTGGCCGAAACGTCGTGAGAATTGTATTTTATTATGTTTTATTTTTATTATTTTATTATTTCCATTCTACGTGACATTACCGAAAGAACCAAGAAGTTGTATTTAAGGGCTTGTCTCTTGGAATTTTGCCTCACTTGATACAGTAAATTTATCTGTGACGGTCCGACCTGATGACAGAGACTTGTGTTGCCTCCGAAACGTCGCGATTTATTATTTTATTTATATTATTATTTCTATTCTTTTTATTATTTATTTTTACCTACGTGACTTTACCGAAAAAAACCTAAGAGTATGAATCCTTGCAGTCACGAAAGCTTCAAATCTAGAATGGACATGAAAACTCAATTTCCCTGTACAAGAATACGGAGTAAAACCGCGGTCTGCGGTTTGAAAAATTTATCCGTAAAAACAAAGTTTTTCACTAAATCCTTTATATGCGTGGCGGCTAGAGTCCTCTCGTCCTCTGGCTTGAGATGGCTGCCACCTATGGGTCAGATGATTGCCTGCCACCATTAAGCAATTGTTAATTAAATATTTAAAAAAAATCCTAAAAAGTGTAAAGTTATGGAAAAAATGTTCCACGAAAATAAATTGTCACGCACGAGTCTGTGTGCAAAATGTCAGCTCGATTGGATCACGGGAAGTGGGTTAAAAATCGACCGAAAGATTTGCACGGTCGTAAGCGCGCAAGCAAGCAAGCAAGTGAACTTAATATAAAGGATTTAAAAATGGTGCCCATTGCTTCAGCTTTCTGCTGCGAATCCGGCGGACGAAGATCTTCACTCAAAACTGTTCTAGAGGAGTTGTACACCCCTAGCTGCCACTGCTATTCAGTGGCCTAAAATAAAATGTTTCGCTCCGGATGACCGCTGCAAAGTATG